CCTTTGCTTCAACTTACTCTGTAGATCATGGAAGCAAGTTTAGTTCTATCAAAGCCATTTATGAGAAATTCTTGAAGAGCCATTTCATGCTCATCAAGAGGTTTGTCAGATACTTTCCTTACTAGAGCAATATGTTATTTCTCTAGAGCTTTATTTTTGTTTTAAACAAATTTTAGCTCATCTTTCAAAATATCATATTGGTTCTTCAGTATTTTCATGTGTCTGACTTTCTCTTGACATCTTCCCATAAGTTCATGAACATAAGTAATTAAACTAGAACGAGAAAGTTTAGAAAACACCTCATCCTCTTCATCAGACCCTGAGCTAGGATCTGAGCTAGATTCTTTTTCTGAAGATGTAAGTGTCATTAATGTAAGGTTGGCTTGCTCTGCATATTTTTTTAGAGTCTTATTCATTGTCAAGTTCATCTCATATTTCAATAAGACTTTTCTTGAATCTGTTATTGAAGATATCCTTCTGAAAGTTTCCCTTCTTTGGCTTGTCCTTTAGTATTTTAGGACATTCAACAATGAATTAACCGTGTTTCTTACAGTTGAAGCATCCTTTCTGATCATCCTTCTTTTTTTCTGGAGCCAGATCTTTTGAAGCCATTACTTTTGCCAAAGAATCTTTTGTTCTTCTTGGCCAGATGCTAAAATATTCTAATAATGAAGGTCATTTCCTCATCATCTGAGTCATCTTCAGAATCTTCTGCTTGAGATGTTTTTTCAGATTTCCAAACTCGAGGAGCCTTAGATATAAAATGCAAAAAAGAAAGAGTAACAATCAAAGTTATCTTGGTTCCTCTCACAAACTGAGAGTAGTTCAGTCCCTTTGTACTTACAAGAGATTTCTACTATAACCAATCAAGATTACAATTTGCTCAAGCACACAAGCAAGAGACTTCTTGTCTTACACACACAAGTATAAGACTTCCTCAAACACACAAGTATAAGATTTCCTTGCTCACACTCACAAGTATGAGACATCATTGCTTTAACATACAAGCTAAATACTTCCTTGCTTAAACACACAAGCTCAAAACTTTCTTACTTTAGCACACAAGTTCAAGACTTCATTGCTCTAGCGCACAAGCTAAAGACTTCATTGCTCAAGCACACAAGCTCAAGACTTCATTGCTCTAGCACACAAGATAAATATTTCCTTGCTCAAGCACACAAGCTCAAGACTTCATTGCTCTAGCACACAAGATAAATATTTCAATGCTCAAGCACACAAGCTCAAGATTTCCTTGCTCAAATACTTAGTAAGATACTTCTAACAGTCAACCTAGCAAATAAATGGTTGTTGGCTGAATACACTTGATATACAATCAGAGGTGTATAAATATTACAACACAATATGACTCATTTAAGACTTAAGGATTTATAAGATATACAAGGATAAGAAATCCTTAGTTTAGCTTGTGCTAAAAATTTGAAAGAGTAGCTTCTCTTTGATTTTCAATCTTTGTTCAACATATGCATGTATTCCATGTATTGTGTATTATTGTGCTGTGCGGATCTTCAAGTTTTTTAGTTCCTTAAATAACGAGGAAAAAATCATAGGTCAACCAACGCTTCACGATAAAGTCTTTTAGTAGAAAAATATTCATAGGTCAACTAACGCTTTCCAGATAAAGTCTCATATTTAGAAATGAGAAACTATAATATTATTTTGATTAAATAAAAAAGAGACCAAAATTGTATTTAAATAGATTTTAGTATATAACTTTAAAGCTTATAATTACTAATATTATTGAAGGCTTAACTTTTTTTCTTATAAAAACCTATATTAAATTCACACAATGTTTCATCGACAATGCAATGTTGTTTCTTTTTATGAAATGGTGATTTTTAACTCGCAAAAATGTACAAATAGACTATAGATTAAATATTATTAACTTATTTATAGACTAAGAAATATTAATAATTTATTGATTAAAAAACAGTTATATTGAATCTCTTTAATTTGTTTTAGTATTATAGAAGCTCTATATTTTTATTTGATGTATTGTAGAGACCGATAAAGAAAATGAAGAAAAAGATCTAGAATGTGCCAAGGCAAGGTTGGAGAATGCAACTACCTCCCTATGAATATTACATCCATTAACATAAGAGAGTGTGGCACGACCATCAAAAGAAGGAGATTAAGGTTTCTTGTGGAAAAAGGCAAGATTGACTTATCATTCATACAGGAGTAAAAAATCCAAAGAATGTCAGAAACAATTGTAAGAGACATATGGGGACATGATGATATGGCTTGGTGTACATTGGATGCTTGTGGTCAATCAGGTGGCTTAATCACTATTTTGAGGTGTGGATTATTTGATCCAATTATGAGCTTCAAAGGGAATGGTTTCATAGGCATACAAACCCTGCACAAAGGTTATACTTTATTCTTCTTAAACATATATTCTTCATATCTGTTATCTGATAAATGAAGAATGCGGAAGGAAATTATGGATTGGAAGGAGATTTTGGATTGGAAGGAGATTGTGGATTGGAAGGACAAGTTAGGTGAGGGGGAGTGGCTCATTGGGGGGACTTCAATTCAATTAAACACAACAGTGACATGATAAGTAGTATGTTAAGAAGCAATAGAATGGAAATGGAAGGCTTTGCTTCTTTCATTGACCTAATGGTAGTGGTAGATATTCTAACTATTGGGAATAAATTTACTTGGTTTAGTCCTTATGGGAGATCCAAGAGTAGGATAGATCATTTCCTTGTATCTGAAGGCATCATTGACAAATGGAAACTTGTAGCACAAGTTTCGCAATGCGAAAAACAACTGGCAGAAAAACAGAATCGCCACCAAATGTTATTTATCCCGACGGGGAAAAGGAAACGATCAAAGAAACCTCAAAAAGGAGAAGAAATGGTCTCGCAACCAAATACTGGGTTCGGGAGTCGATTCTTGTTGTTCTAATTAAAGGGTGTGTGTATTTAAAGACCTACTTGATAAAGGACTACAAAAATGGAAAATAAAAAAGGAGACTCGATAAGACCTCGCCGTCCTATGCCTACGTATTCCCCCGTGCAATGGGAAAATCATAGTCAACGTAGTTCAGAGGACTACAGGTGGATGGGGGGATTGTGCTCGCTAAGACTTTGCCGTCTTGTGCCTACGTATCCTCATTTGGACAAGAATTAGGAAGTCAGAGCGCTCGTAGTTCGACGGACTACGGGTGAAAAGGGGGGAAGGGTGCTCGCCAAGACTTCACCATTTTGTGCCTACGTATCCTTATTCAGATGAGAATGAGGAAGTCAGAGCACTCATAGTTCGACGGACTACGGGTGAGAAGGGGGGAAGGGTGCTCTCCAAGACTTGTCGTCTTGTGCCTACATATCCTCATTCGGACGGGAATGAAGAAATTAGAGCGTTCGTAGTTCAGCTTACCACGGGTGGCTATGTGTCTTTTATGAGGCGATGCTAAATTCGCATTCCAGTAGTTAGGGTTGAGGTTTGTTTGCGGTAGAAGGGAAGTAGCATGCCCTTTTTGAAAATGTTTGAAACGTAGATCCCGAAAGACAAAAATAGTTTAAATTTGTTCATGAGTTTTAAAGAAAAGTGAATTGACTTTGTTTGAGATGTGTGTTGCACTAAAGTATATGACATAGGATCGAATACTTTATGCTAAAAATCCAAACATCTCACGCACAAAGTACCCTGAGATGAGGTTAGAAATGCATCCGCTCATCTTTTCCCATGTGCTTAAGGCTCGTGACGCGCTACGCACATTGTATTTATTAAGTATCTTGAATTGATTTGAGAAGGGGAGAAACTCAAAGGGCAAAAGAAAAATCTAATGGATCTCACACCTAAATGTTGTCATGCCAAATGGGGTCATATAGTTAAGGATGAAAAAATGAATTCTATCCTAATGTTAAGGTTCTAAGATTGAGTTTTAACAGAAAACTAACCTAATGTTATCATGTAAAAGATTGAGGGCCTAATGTCTATCATACTCCAAACTTAATCAGAAATTAAGTTGGACTAGGAGCCTTAAGGAAGCATGTGAGCACAAAGCACAACACAAGTAAACATTACACAACTCAATCACAAATAACATTAACTACCAAACAAAATTCAAATAAAGATTCAAGAACAAAGCCAAGTTACGTAGCAATATCAACCACAAGGCAAACATCAAGATTAAACAAGTATCATCAAGGAAAATATTCATAAGTGTCGCCAAGAATTAGTCAATACTTCAAGAATTTAATTAATGCTCAATTCAAGTTCACTATAAGCTTCAATTGAAACTCAAGAAATCATGACAAAACCTAATCAAGTCAAATTAATAGAATCGATAACAAAAATTAATGCCAAATTATAATATCTCTATGTTAATCAACGATCAAAATCAAAATCAACTTAATATCAAACTAATTTAATTAAACTCATGCTCGATTCTAAATAAGGACTAATGAAAAACTAATTAATTCAAGAAATCAATTACAAACTTAAACCAAAAGTTAATACTAGCCTTAGATCAACGATTAATTGTTAACATCGAAATTAATGTCCCATCGAAATTTTATCCCAAAATTAAGATCAATAAGGACATCACCTTTTAATTAATCGTTAAAGTGTAAATTTTATTAACTAATGTAAGAAAAAATAAAATGATATAGTAAAAACAACAAAAAGATATTATGAAAATCATGTGGGCTTACTCTCCAAGCCCAAAGGTGTCAAGAAAAAAAGTGGGTTTTCTTTTAAAAAAAGGGATCATGGGCTTAATGAGAAATGGATAAACCAAATTGTCTTAATCACTATTGAATCACCAATACCATCATTCACCTGCAATTCCTCACACTTCTTTGTTCTCTCCCTCCCAGCTTTCTCACTCGATAGCTACCCCTTCTGTCACTGTTCATCGTGTCGTCTCCCTCTTTTTCTTCTAAGAAAAATCGCGGCCATGTTCCATCATCACCTTCACTCGGTCATCTCTCTATTCTTCTCATTTTCGCTCGGCTAATTCTACGCGAACAATGGCAATCGCAACAAGAAGATTCTTGATTGTTGCTTCTCGCGTCGACGCAAGTCTTCCGCCGCGCGATGGAGGCTTAGCCGGCGGCGGCGGAGCCAAATGGATACTCCCCTCTCCTTCTCAGAGTTTCAATTCCGCTCACACATTATCAAGGTTTCAACTACAAATGACGAAATTTCAAAGTCAAAAGAAGAATACATGCGGCGACACGGAGCGAATAGGTACGAATCCCTCTTCTTCATAATTACTCGTGTATGTTGTTAGCTGATGTAACTTGTGTTGCTGTGGCTTTTCAATTTCTCCTCGAAACCGTATATTTCCTCACTGTGCATTTTGTTGTTATTTTTTCTGTCGTGCGTATTGTTGCTGTGATGCGCGTGTGTATGTATTATGTGATGTGAATTCTCCTCCCTCCAATATGTGAATTTTACTGCTGCATCCTTGTTGTTGTTGTTGCGATGATTCGTGCCTATGATGCAGTTGTGTATGCTCAACGTGATTGCTTTGATTTTTGCATTTGTTTTGACTCAATTCGTCTGTTCCTTTGTGCGTATGATGGCTCTTTGTTACCTGCCTTGCACAACCTTCAATTTATATGTTGTTTTTGAATTGCTGTGTTTTTTCTTCCTTTTTATAGGCCTATGTATGCTGATTTCGAATCTTTGAAATTGAATGTGAGATTACTGTCAAATTCGGTTTTGGAGAGGAATTGTTAAGAATCGTGATTTCTTTCCTTTTTGTGATTTCCTGTGATTGTGTGATTGATGAAAGTGATTCAATCTTTCCATGTTCATTTTTGATTTCGCCATGAATAGTGATTATGTGCAAGTTGTTTTTGGAACAAACTTGCTGTTTCTATTTTGTTCCCTTTTGATAACTTGCCTTTTTCATCTTGCTCATGTTTTGATTTCCATAAATGTGTGTATCAATTTGTTTGCCTTGCAGTGATTTCAGTGCCTAAGGGAACCAGCTGGAAGTAACGCCAATTCAAGACAAAATACCGTGTTGCATATTGTGGGAAGGACACAAGTCTGGATAGGAAAGCGCACTTGCAGTTTTCGTTAAGGTTTGGCTCTATCCTTGCAATGTAATTAGACCTTCGATGCAGAAAAATATAACCGTGATAACTATTGTGACCGCATGTAATTCATCCAAACCAACACCGATGAGGTAATGAGTGCGCCAATGTTGATTGGGAAATGAAATCAATTGAATAAAATAATTTTTCTTTTCCTTCTCAACCACGATGTGATTGTCAAATTGGTCATGAGGATGGCTCACCAGGTTTGCCCTCATGCTATACTAAGCCAATCTCTCAAAACATTTACTCAAATGAATTTTGGCATGATATTGCAGAAGTGGATGAACTGCTTCAGCTACTCTGACTTGTGCAGAATGGTGATAGACACCAACAAAGTTGTCGTGGCCAGCCTATGCTGGAAAAAAATCACGCGTGGGCAACTTAGTCCTGTTTTGGCCAGGTGCAGCCACCTAGACCGCTGAAGCTATCCATTGAGGTACACATTGTTTTAAACTTTCACTTTTCTAAACTCTTGGTATTCATGTAAAGGTAGTTCGAAATTTTTCTTTGAGTTAGGAGACTGTTAGCTTTCTACTGTTAGTGAATTAATTGATTGGAACTTGAATCGCTTAAAATTCCGTTTCATCCTACGACAATTAGAAATTGATGCATTTGTGTGAATGAATGGAAATGATGGTTTTACAGTCATGTTAATATACAGTTATTGAATGTATTGTTATGTGTTTGAATAGTTATCATGAGCTTGGTTAGCAAGTATGACTTTATTCTTCACTGTTTTGGTTCAATTATAAGCTGCGTTAAATTCCTCTTGGTCCAAATTATGCAGGTGAACAATTTTCAGTATTGTTTTTTCCACTCCCTTCTATGCAACAAGTACAGGCAGCCATAGAGGCATTCAATTGTACTTCCAACTCTAGATATTTCTTTTTCATGTCATATTTGTTGCTTTTGTTGTTTTGGACTGAACATCATGAGTTGAAAAATTCTTGATAAAACATGGTTTGCATAGCAATTAACCAAGTACGCCAACCAGTTTCTTTTCTTTATCCTGGCATATGAACGATTACTTGAGATCATAAAGATGAGGCTTGCTTGAAGTTTGGAAGAACTTTGCAATTGAAAAAGTTATAGGCATGGAAGCTTGGCCTGTCGTGGTGAAACTTGGAGAAAAACAATCAAAGTCTTGTGATGTAATTTTAGTTCTTTTAATTTAGACATCTATGAAGAGTTTTGGAAACTTGGAGAAAAACAATCAAAGTCTTGTGATGTAATTTTAGTTCTTTTAATTTAGACATCTATGAAGAGTTTTGGAAACTTGTAGGATTTATGTAATCTTGCAAACAACTTCACATTTTGGATTGGTCATGGCATACATTCTTGTGAAAGACCTTTGAACTTAGCATTGAAATTGACTTGTAACGAGTCCTTGTGTACTTTAAACTAATTTGGGCTTATAAACCTTGAAATTTGAACTTGAGATTTGAATGTGGGGAAAATGTTGTAATTGGCACAAGGCATTGTATGCATTTGAACATGTAATCTCTTTAGAAAAATGGATTGTAACTTGTATGCTTTGAATACATTCAAAAAAGGTTTGATGAACTTGTTCCTTGAATTTGAATTTTAGTGAATGTCTTTGAGTGAACTTGTCTTGTTAATAATGGATGCTAATTGAATTAATCTTGGAAATTATCCTTGAGTAAAAGGGTTTAGGATGGTTGAGAACGATGTATGCCCTTGATTTTTGTAACAAGTAACAAACTTTTTCAACTTTTGATGAACTAAACATATGCCTTTAGAAATTTAATGAACAAAAGGACTATGCTTTGAACTCTTGAATAATACTTGAAACCTAAACCAAATTCTAGGGAAAAATAAATGCCTAAGAATTTGATGCCACTTGAACATTCTTGAATTCGTTAGTCCATTATCTTTTCATGTCATGCTTGTCTCATAAAACCAATCACACTCCATTTAATAAGATCTTAATCTTTGGAAATGAGGATACAATCTTGTAATGCAGCTTGCCACGAAACATTAACTAGTCCTCTACTGATGACCATGCTCATCATCCATGAAAGGGACCCTAATTCTCCTTGAGATATACACTGAGGCTTCTAAGAAATCTTGAAGAAAATGACCTTGATACTTGATGAATCTTGAGGGAGAATAGCCTTATGGCTTGCTTAGAATGAAATCCATGACGCATAAAAATTTACACCTTGATTTCATAATCCCTTGATGCAACCCTAAGAACTTGATGACATTAAGAAACCTTGAAGAATATGACAGAAATATGCTCATGATGATGATAGTTCAAACTCTATTTCCAATATCCATGAAAGCACCAATGGAATTGATCTTCAATGAAGTAGAAACCATAAACCAATAGAAAACCATGATTCTTCAGAAGGCCTTGATCCTGTGTATTAGGATCTTATGCAAATGAATGATTGTGAATGTATAACCTAGTGGAAAAATGCATATGTATGAGAAATGACAGCTTGTTAGGGTTAAGTACAATGAGGACAAATTTTGGGGTACAACAACAAGAAATTAGGAATATGAATGTTTATGACCACTGCCTTATATGTATCAAAGGAAACAATGTAAACTGGGGTCCGATTCCTTTTAGAACAATTAATGGTTGGTTTGAAAACAAACATTTCTTGGATTTTGTTAAGGAGCAATGGTCTTCATTCCAGGTCTCTGGCATGAGGTTATTCTCTTTGAAATAAAAATTTAAATTACTGAAGGTTGATCTGAAAAAGTGGAATATGAAGGTTTTTGGAATCATTGACCTCAAGATTGACAGTGCTATTGAAGACCTAAACAAGCTGGACTGCATCATCAGTTCACAATCTTCAATCAGTTTGATATATGATAAACAAGTTGCACAAAACCTTATTTGGAGCAAGCTCCACTTAAAGGAAAGTCTACTGAAATAAAAATCTAGGCACCAATGGTTAAAGGAAGGTGATCTGAATTCCATATTCTTTCACAACATGATGACTTGCAAAAGAAGGAAGAATCACATTACTGCCTTAAACACTGAAAGAGGGAGAGTTAAAGAGGTTTCCATGATTAAAGTTGTTGTTGAAGACCATTTCAAACACAATTTTACTAATCTTAGTGGACACAAACCAATTTTGGAAGGGATACATTTCAACAGATTGACTGATGCTGACAATTCGGAACTTGAGAAAGAGTTCACTAGTGAGGAGATCAAAGGTGTTATTTGGGATTGTGATGGAGATAAAAACCCTGGTCCAAATGGGTTAAACATCATTTCATCAAGAATTTTTGGGATACATTGGGAGAGGAAATTATTGATGCCATACAAGAATTCTACAATACAACCACCCTACCTAAAGCCTTCACTGCTTCTTTTCTGGCTCTCATCCCAAAGATTCATAATCCACAGAAGATGGAAGAATTCATACCAATATGTTTTATTGGTAGTTTATACAAAGTAATGGCTAAAATGTTGGCCAATAGAATCAAAAGTATTATTGATAGGTTAATTTCCAAATCACTAACTGGTTTCATACCGGGTAGGCAAATCCTTGATGCAGTCTTGACCACAAGTGAGATAATTGATTATGACAAGAGGAGAAAAAAATAATGTTTGCTTTTTAAGGTGGATTTTTCTCAGGAATATAATAACGTTTGCTAGGATTTCTTAATATACATGCTTGGTAGGATGGGCTTTGGAGGGAAATGGTTAAGATGGATGGAGGGTTGTGTATTCAAAAGTACTATGTCAATTCTAATTAATGGAAGTACGAATCATGACTTTGTGGTGTCTAGGGGACTGAGGCAGGGTGATCTATTATCACCTTCCTTGTTTGCTATTGTAGCAGAAGGTTTGGTTGGAATTATGAAGAATGTTGTGGACTTCAATTTCTTCAAAGAATTCAGACTGGATGTTAAACTTGGAGGTCATTCTTTCTGTTTACTACATTTTACTAATGACGCTATCATCATTGGAAATGGATCATTGAGTAACCTGTGGGCTATCAAGACCATCTTAAGAGCCTTTGAAATGGTGCATGGCTTAAGGATCAACATGAGCAAAAGCAAAGTTTATGGAATTGGACTGAACCATGATTTCATGTTGGCAGCTTCCAATTTCTTATTTTGAAGCATAGATAAAATCCCCTTTAAATTCTTGGGGATCATAGTGGGAGTTAATCCAAGGAGAACTGAGGATTGGAAACATGTCATATCCACCTTGAAGAACAAGTTATCTAGATGGAAATCCAAATTCCTTTCTCTAGGAGGCAAAATTACTCTACTAAACTTAGTGCTCAATAATTTACCAATACATCACTTATCATTTTATAAGATGCCATAATCTGTCAGGAAAAAAATCATTGGCATAGAAAGACAATTCTTGTGGCATGGTTCAAGAGAAGGTAAAGGAATCAACTAAATTAGTTGGCAAATGGTATGCAGAATTAAGGATAATAGAGGTCTTGGTGTCAAGGAGATAGGAGCTTTCAATCAGGCCTTGATGTGTAAATGATTTTGGAGACTTTTCAATGAGGAAAATGCTATTTGGAGTGGACTGATGACACATAGATATGGAAACATGATTAACAGCCAGTGGCTGGACATAGAAAAATACCATCCATCCTTACAATCTCTATGGTGGAGAGATATCATGAGCATTGGCAAAAACCTCAAGTGCAAAAGGATGAAGGGAGCTGATTTGAAACATATTGTTAAATTCATAATTGGAAATGATGAGTCAATTCCATTCTGGAAAGGAATTTGGATTGGACCATCACCCTTAGAAGTAACTTTCCCTATTATTTATTCTCATGCAACAAACAAATTAGCCAAGATAAGTGACTATGGCTTTTGGTCTCATGGTGTATGGCATTGACAACTTGAGGAAATGGGCTCTTCCATGCTGCCAGATCCTATATCTGA